AGAAGCTCTTGGCAGCTGCCTTAATACAGTTGCTTTGGCTGTCTTCAGCAACTGAGAAAGGAATGATAAGTTTACTCTGACGTGACTGTATGCTCTGTTCCTAAAGAAAGAAATTATCCCAGGCAAAGGAAAACTTCATTATTTAAATAAGCTTGTCACTACCTGACAGTAGTTTGCAAGCAGTTTTTGAAAAATGGATGCTTCTTCCAGCTGATGGAGCCATTGAGCGTGGTTAAGGGGTCTCTGTGATAATGCTAAGGTATCTGCACAGAGCCTCAGATATTGTGAAGGGCAAATGGGGGAAATCCAAAATATGAAGGCATCTTTACTCTGAAATGAAGTGCTCAGATTTGTAAAGAATCACCAAGGTCTCCTTTTTCAGCTGCAGACTCCTTGGCCTGTGCAGCCTCTTTTCAGGGTGTTCTGCATGGGCCTGTAGTCTGTGTTCTAGCAAGCATCCCAGAAGGTTGGGATGCCAGTGTGGACAGAGGAAGACCCATAGCTTCTGCCCCGTCCCTGTTGTCCCCAGCTGAGGTAGGAGAGTACTTAGTTTTTAAAGGCAAGTTAACATTGAACCCTTTTTGTCTTCTAAGGGAAAGAACCTCTTGGTTTTCTCTTCCTCTTCCCAGTTTCATTCCTAGTGCAGGTGTCTGTGGCTCTCGGCACACTGTCAGGTTAACGCCGCTGCCAGAGGTGAACACGGGTCTCCAGCCCTCCCAACAACCTCTTCAGCCATTTTTGTTTTCTGTCCCATCCCCTCTAAAGCAAGGCAAAGCACTTCACATCTCCTGACAGACAAACCCTGATGTACAAGTTAATTATGTTTCTAAACAAATATAAAACTGGCTTCCTTTGATAAATGCAGCCAACCAGTAAATATATCAGTTCTCTGTGTGGCGAGGCACAGAGTATCCTGGGAGATTACATAGGAAAAAATAAGAACAAAGTCTTAAAAATTGAATAGTAAAGTTTCCAGTGAGACATCACTGCACGGCCGCTTGAATAGGAGTAATTCAGTAACTGGCAGATGTTAAAATGGGAATGTGGAGAACTGGACCCATCATGCATTGCAGATGGGAATGTAAACCATGCAACCCCTTTATAAAATAGTGTGTTGATACGTTCAATAGGGAAACAATCCCACTCCCAGGAATCTCCCCAAGAGAAATTAAAACATATTGGTATATACACAAGAATGCTCATGGCATTGTTATTTATAAAGCCACAGACTGAAAACAATCTAAATTGTCCATTGAGTGATAGCTAGATGAGCAAAATATGGTATATTGATACACTGAGCTGTTACTTTTAAATTAAATGAAATTCTGATGTATGCTGCATGTGAGTAAATCTAAGTGAAAAATGCTGAAGCTAGAAACTATCCATTGTGTGATGTCATTTATATGAATATAGAAAGTGTAGGCTTATAGAGACAATGATGATTGTTCCGATCTACAGATGAAAATGAGGATTATGTACAAATGACTCGGGAGATGTTTTTGGAATAATGGAAACATTAAAACTCAACTATGATAATCTATACACTGAACAACCATTATACTGTAGACGTTTTATGAAATGGTAATTTACCACATGAGGCTATTAATTTTATTTACATCAAGTATGCACCATGGTCAGATACTCAGTAAGCTTTTTCTGTGAGAGAGAAAGGAACAGAGGCCACGAGTGGTCTGCACAGCCCTTGGGCTCCCCAGACCAGGGCACCCTCACCAGGAACACACAGATGAGACTATCTGACCTTGGGTTTTCACCTTCCCAGCTGAGCTAATTGAGCCCCTTTTTTTTTGTAACAAATTACCGAGCTTCCAGTATTTCCTCATAGCAACAGAAGCAACAACAGTAGCGTGTATTGGCCACCCCGTCATGACTCACGGTAGACAGCTAATTTCCATTTTCACTTAAGAATGCGCTCAGTGAAGCAATATAAATTTAATTTTATTAAATCCTGTGCTTGGAGGCATATCTTTTTGACAGCCTGGTGGTACAGTAAGAGATCTGCATAAAACATTTCCTTTGCCTACCCAAGGACAGTGTTCTCATGGAGAAGAGCGCTTCCGCCGTTGATGGAGGTGTTAGCTGAGTTAGCACCCCTTCCTTCTAATGGAATGCCATAGCTCCTTAAAGCAGAGATGCCTAGCAGGCAGACCGCTGATGCTCAGACCTGGGAATCTGGCATGTCATTTTCTCTAAAATGATTGAAAACAGATTCCCACTTCAAGGAAAGTAACTGACAGGAGTCTGTTTTTGTTTTTGCTGGTGATAAAATTCAGACCTTAACCGAAAGCTGTAATGTTGAAAAGCTTTGTATTCACCGTTATGAACGTGACAACATTCAAGAGATGGCTGATGATATGGGTAGAGATTTCAACAAATGCATTTTTCAAAATGATGTGAACGAAGTGTCAGAATTTGAAGACTATAGATAGAAGTGGTGATTCTAAACATTTGAGAACTTGTGGCTTAGTGATCCACAGTGTGAACTCTGGTGTCAGGCTGCCTGCGTGTAAATTCCAGTCTCACCACTCATTACTTATGTAACTCAGTTAAGTTCTTCATCTCTCAATGCCTCAGTTTGCTAATCTATAAAATGGGAATTAAATGACTAGGAATAGCGGTGTACACTGTAATCTCATCATGCTAAAGGTGAGGAAGAAGGCAATGATGTCTCAGGAATGAAAAAAGGAAGAATAATAAAATGGCTTGTGACTCGGAAAGGTGTTGTAGGTGTGAAAGTGAGTTAGTGGATGTAAATAATTATGAACAATAAATAAGTGTATATATATATATATATATATATATATATATATTCCTTAGAATACTATCTTACTCAAAATAAGTCCTCTATAACTTGTTAACTTGTTGGTAAATCGTAATTTATAAAATAAAGATACAAATGCATAGTAGAAAGTTTTGCCATTGAGCCTGTCATTTGGGGGTTGTTCATAATGTAACAATTATATATTATATTTAACATATATTGAATATAACAGATATAAGTATGTATAATAGAGTTTTGTTGTTGTTGTTGTTTTTGGTTTTTTGAGGCAGGGTTTCTCTGTGTAGCCCTGGCTGTCCTGAAACTCACTCTGTAGACCAGGCTGGCCTCGAACTCAGAAATCCCCCTGCCTCTGCCTCCCAAGTGCTGGGATTAAAGGCGTCCGCCATCACTGCCTGGCGTATAATAGGTTTTTAAGGGGGAGTTGGAGAGGTACTATAACTATGTCGGACAGTTTAGTAAGTGAAATATAAATAGGTTACAGTCGTGTGACTTGCCTCTGTGATGTTGAAAATGATGATTATCATTCGAGCTCTAGGAACTTGGAGATTGTATGACGAGAGGGAAGTGGCAGATCATACGTGCACACTTATCAGTGTTAAAGAAAACATACAGCTTCTAGGAGAAAGTATCCAGCTTGGCAGAAACCTATGTCTTCCACCCTACCAGGAGGCTTCCTCTCAGCTCTTCTCTAAGACTTACAGACAGGCGGGTCTTTTGCTGGGACTTTTGCTCTGCTATCCTGTGCTGAACACTCTGTATGATGTTTGAGGCCCTCATCAGGGAAGCATACCCCAGTGGTAGCAGTGGACCTGGGCTCTGGGCTCTGGGCTGCTGTGTTAGTTTGCTCATTCTTCCGCCTGCCTTGCTCAAGACCCAGTAACTATGGGTTTCCCTGTGTACCCCAGCACAGGAAACAGTGTAAAGCCCACATTTGTTTTGAAATTTATTCTGTTTATCACTGGGGCGTGACCAACACAGCGTGCACGTGGAGGGAGCTTTGGGAGTTAGTTTTCTCCTTGCACTGTCCTTCTGGGGATGGAACAAAAATCATCACGCTTGTGCAGTAAACACTTTTAGTCACTGAACCGTCATTGTACCAACTTTAGTTTATTCTTCTTAAATGTTCATAAATACATTATTTTACTATAAAGAAGGTAAGGTGACCTGTGAGAAAATGGTAATTGTTTTCTTTCCCCAGAACATGAGATTATCATATTTCAGAGTGCTAATATTACACAGGCCCATTTGTGTTTGATGGTAACAACCAGTATAAAGGTTGGTGGAATTTCACTGACTGAAAATGGCGGCTCTCTTCAGAAAAATGGGGACACAAAAGAATCCATTTGGGGTCTGTGGGTTTCATGTCATCCAGGTTACTCCACATGAAGTGAATCTGGTGAGCTAGTCCACTGTGCTACTTAGCTCCTAAATTAAATAGTGGTCTCTTCAATTTTGGCCACAATCCAAGTTTCTTAAGGATGAACAGCCTCCGTTAATGAGGTTTAGCATGTCCTATCCACTTTAAGGGTATGCCTTTCAAGCACTGTGTTCAGCACTTTGCATATGTATGTCTCTGAAGCACAGGATGGATGTCTTTTTGAGACAATATACTTACTGCTACACCTGTACTTAAATACTTGAATATTTCTTTCCCATGCAGCTGCTCTGCTGGAAGTACATAATCTTGTCAAGCTAAAAGCCGAAGGCTTTTATTGATCCAGTAGAACCTAGTCCCAAAATTTACTGTAAGTGAAGCTATTATTAGCCATTCGTAGTCCTACCCTTGTCCCAGCTAGTGTCTTCCTCACACGCTTTGTCTTCGTGTCTTACACTGCACAGTTCATCTGGACAGGTAGACAATGCCTGTGATTATCCTGGTCCCCTCTTCCTGACACCGGAACCTTTTGTCCATTCTCTCCCTATTAGAAATCAGTAATTTAAACGCTAGCTGCATGCTGTCGTCTAAACAGAGTGGTTGCCTGTTACAAAGACAACTCTTTTCATTACAGTACTTCCTGTTCAGATGTCTGGCGAGTTCCGCCTGTATTGTGTAACACCTTTGCAAGGACCTCTGTCTTTGTGAGGTTTACAGCTTCGGTAGAGGGGCTCTAGTAGCTCAGAGAGTTGGTGACGGAAAATGCCTGCTATCGTATGACCGCACATTCTCATCTTGACTCTTATGCTTGTGCTTGCGTTTCAGGAAAAAAGTGCCAGCTCGAACACCAGGCTTAAAACTAATAAAGAAATCCCTGGATTAGTCCATCAACCCAGAGCAAAGTAAGTTCTCCTTTCTGTTTTCCTCGTATTGTCTTTAAAACTCCATTTTTGCCTCCCAGGTAATCAACGTTTATTATAAAGCTTTAGGAATTGAGACAGTAAAAGAAAAACAAACAAACAACAACAAAAATCAATAAAAAAACATAGTCTCAGAGCATCCTCAGTGCGTATCAAAGCTGACAGTTTCAGGCCAGTTAGTGAAGTAAATAAAAAAGAGGGATAGCTTTGTAGCTCTCATGTTGGTGGGGGTGGGGAGGCGCAGTTAATTAAGATATAAAATATATGCAAATCTTATGGAAATTTACTAATTAATGGCTGCATTAAGCTTATGAACGTGTCTTCATCAGAATATACTGTAGGGGTCACAAAGCAGAGGGTGACATACAAATGACACTGTAGATTTTCCAGAATATAGAAAATAATTCTACAAATAAAATTGCAAAACCCAGAGAATAGGCTAACACATGAACACACATTTGACTGAAGAGGAAGCCCGAGTGGCCAGTCTATTCAAAAAGCATGTTGTTTTATTCCATTAGATTCTCAAAAACTTGTAAGTCTGACAATATAAAAGTTAGCTAGAATATGAATAACTGATGCTCTCAACCCCTGCTGTGGGTTACACTGCATCGCAACTTGGGGGAAGCCGGTTTCTTAGCTAGTAAAGTTGAAGCTGGGCAAACTTCACCCTCCAGCACCACCAGTGGCAGGTTTTATGCCCTTGAGGAACATTTCACATTAGTGCTAGGAGATGTTTTGGAATGTTCATAGCAGCAGTTTAGATGAGCTTTTAGAAGAAAAACCAGTGTCCATCAGTAATGTAATGGGTAACAGTTCCGAGATGTCTGTGAAAATGAATGGAGTGGGTACGTACGTGTTACACACATCAGGGCGGGGCACGCTCAGAACGGTAAGTAGCAGGTTGATCCTTCAAACTCAAAGACATAAATAAGCAATATTTTGCCTACAAGTATAAAGCAAAGTAACAACAACAACAACCAAAAGCCAAGTAATAAAGCATTGAGTCGAAATGCTGACTCCTGACTGGAGAGACACAGTTGAGCCAGAGGCTCTCTTCTAATCTGGGTGTTAATTACATGATTGTTGCTAATAATATGTAATTTTAAGAGGTCTTTAACTTGAAAAGTTAAGTTGTACATGTCCTCGGTGACATGGGTACTTGAAGATATTATGGCTTACCGACATATGAACACTCTCATTTTACTAAAATCAATGTCCTGGCCATGGTCATACATGACTGCAATCCTTGCACTTAGGAACAGAGGCAGGAGGATTGCCACATGTTCCTGGCCAGTCTGCTCAGAGTTCCAGGCAAACCAAACTACAAAGCTGTCTTAAAAGAACTTTATAAAATTATTCACTAAAAAAAAAATAAATAAATTTTGAAACATTTTCTAGTTTGTTCTAGGACTCATTCCATGTTGGTGATAAAATCATTGTCCCATGAGACTATTGTTGTGTCTCTTGAGAGGCTGTTAATCGTCACTGTAGTATCCACTTAAGGCCAGGTTAATTCCCAGGAATGCAAGTACGTTTAGCAGTCACCTCCTCCACGTTCTGACTGTTATATCAAGACCATAGCAGAAGAGACATGTCATTGTTGGGCCTTCCTTGAAAACCTGAGATTAAAGCAACCTGCTTTGTGTGGTGGCTGTCCTTGGTCGTCAGCTTGGCTACGTCTGGAATTAGCTAAAACCTAAATGGCAGGGCACACCTGTGAGGGGTTTCCTTTTCCTTAAATCATTGAAGTGAGAGGATCCACTTCTAATCCAGATCCTGGAGGTGGGAAGATAAACTTTTAATTCAGATCTTTTGATGTGGCAAGATCTCCCTCTAATCCGGGCCTCGTCTTCTGGACGCCTGTATAAAGGACGTAGTAGAAGGAAGCTGTGGCTCTCTGTCTGCTTGCCCTCACCCTCTAAGGCCATTCCTTCGCTGGCGTTAGAACCTACTCTTCAGGATTTCAGCGTATACTGAAAACCAGCTGAGATCTTACCCTCTTGGACTGAACAACTACTGGGTTCTTGAACTTTCCGTTCATAGGCAACCATTGTTGAATTAGCTGGACCACAGCCTGTAAGCCATTCTAAGGATTCCTCTTCTTTCATGTATGTATGTATGTATGTATGTATGTATGTATGTATGTATATGTATACATATATATGTACACATATATACATGCACATACATACCCACACAGACATTCAGTCTCTAAGTTCTGTTCTTTTAGAGAACCCTGACTAATACAGCCCAGTGTCTGTGGGTGTCTAGGGCTTGGCCCATATGGAAATTTGGCCAAGTTTCTTTAGCAGGTTGGGGAAGGACTAAGAGATTTGATGCATACTTTAATGAAAAATGAACAGTGTAAATGTACTTAGGATTTGCTGTGTTAGAGTAATGGCACAGCTGATTGCCTCCCACTCAGGGCCATGCTACTTGTCACCAGGCCATGCCCAGGCAGCCTCTCTGATGATAGTCACTGTTGTGCACTTGGTCTGTCTTTGGAGACCACAAGACTCCTGGTAACACAGCCAATCACTTTCCATGCACACACCTGGAGTGGGCTGGTTTTTAGGGAAGTGTCCCTTAGATCTGAGCTCTAGGAGATAGCTGCATGGATGAGCACTGCTCCGTCCTGCTAGAGAGAGAGACTGCTCCATCCTGCTAGAGAGAGAGACTGCTCCATCCTGCTAGAGAGAGAGACTTCCATCCTGCTAGAGAGAACACTGTCAGTGTTGATACCTGGAAACTCCTTGATTTGTAGAGGGAAACCAGACTACAGCTTTCAGACATGTATATTAAATGGACTCATATGCTTTCTTGAAAAATCACATTTTCTACACATCAGCATGCACGTATAGGGTGAGGGTGTGTGTGTGTGTGTGTGTGTTTTAAGTTGCAAGTGCAATCTTGTGTGTTTGGAATGCCTTGAGAATGAAAGAATGAGGGATAAAAGGACAAATGCCCTTAAATGGGACTGCATACATGGAATACAAGATGTTTACCCAAGGAAAGATGGGGCTGCAGTTTAGCCAAGAGCCCTGCAGCAATGCGCAGTGCTGCATGACCCATGGCAACTGGATATTAATCCTACATTACATGGAGCACTCTATAAATTTTAAAAATACAACCCAAGTGAATAATTGGCTTTTTAGCACATTCAGAGACACTGCCAGGTAAAAGGCAAGAGAGGGTTTCTCTGGCAGAGGGACACACAGCCGGGAGCAAAGCCCGAGTCAGCTATAGTTTGTAATCAAGGGTCTCATCATTAGTTTGAGTTTCATGGGTACTTATATTGGGTTTTTCGGTTGATTGGTTGGTTTTCAAACAAAGTAATTCAGTAAATAAAAGAAGCTATGTATGAACCACCACTGGGAGTGTGTCAGAAGGATTAGAATTAGAACAAACAAACAAAAAACCACCACAGCAACAGGGACATCTCCTGTGTAAATCTGATTTCCATCACTGAGACAAAATCCCTAAGAGGAGACACCTGAAGAAAGGAAGCTTCGTTTGCTTCATAGTCTACTGCTCTGTTGTTCCTTGGCCTCTGATGAAGCAAAACCATCCCGGCCAGGAGCATGTGGTACAACAAAACTGCTTACCCCGAGGCAGCCGGGAAGCTCGAGGCAGGAGACAGAGACAGAGACAAAGTGCCTCCTTCACGAGCTTCCCCCACTGGCCTCCAGCCAAAGCCTCCTCATTTTGAGGAGTCCACAACCTGTCAGTAACCCATTAAACTGTAACTCTTGTCAGTGATGAGCTTAATGGTCCAGTGCCCCACCCCCAAAGACCCTCTTCTCTGAGCTTAACTGCACTGAATCCTAAGCCTTCAAGGCATAGCCTTTAGGAGGTCATTATCAGATTCAAACCATATTATAGCTTTACATTTTGTGGCTGAAGTTTTCCTTGTTTGGAAACTGTATATGTCACTAGAAATGAAAGCCGAATGCCTTTAGCTCTGGAGCCCATTTTGCCATCATTCCTTCATTGGATTGCTTTGCTTTAGGATTCTGCAGTCCCACCTAGCTGAGAAGCAACAGAAAGAAAAGCCTCTGAGGGTACAAGGTGATTTTACAGAACTTTTGCAGGGCTTGGGGCATTCGCTGAGATTTGTTAGTTAATGCAGATACCAGTATATAGCCTTTTATAAAATGTGGGTCTGGTGAATATTATCCCCACATATTCATGCTATATAAACTTGTGTGCAGTGCAGCAGCCCCTTCCCAGTATGTAGAGAGGAAGGATATGAAAATCAGCGGCTTTTGCCTCTCTACCCAGCTCACAGCCATCCAGTTGTGCCTCAGGAAAACAAGATGCTTAGAATAGAGTGGTACCCAGGGACTGATCCTCACAGGGCAGTTTGTACTCTAAAATCAGGTAAATCACGCTGCTGTGTTGGTAGGATCTCCACATGGTAAGGGGAGAGTCCATGTGTATCCATGCAGCCTGTCTCATCAGGGTAAAATTTCTATGAGATTTTGTTCTCTAAAAAAATCTCTGAAGAATTCTCTCTGGAATGAACCCATGGAAAACAGAGTATGCCTTCTTCTGTCTACCTCGCTAAAAGTGAGTGATGGACAGGTAACTAGGACCTTCAAGGGAACATTTGTTCCTCTGGCAAAATGTGCTACAGCCCTCTGGCAGAAGCATGTGTCTGAAAGAGCTTGTGTCCTGCATGAGATTTTGACAATAACAAGCCCCCTTTCTGTTCACTCAGTTCCACCAACTACAGGAAGCATAACGTATTTCAAGAGTGAATCTGCCTGGTATGTAAAGGCAGAGGCAGCACTTCTGTCAGTGGACAAACTAAAAGCACTGAGGTTTTTGTGCTTGTGTCTCCACACACATCCTTAGGTCAGCGGCCTTCACCTTCAGCCTCAAGTTCTTGATACAAAACCCATAATAAGTTCCCTGTGACCACAGTGATGGTGGGCACACTTGCAGAGTTAAGATATTCCCCTTTCGCCCTCCGTGCACAGGAACAGACTGCTCACCAGACGTTGCTGGTTTTGTGTTGTAATCAATAAATAAAGATGTGAATGGAGTTGGCAGCAGCTGTTGCTGGTTAGCAGAAAGCCTGCTTAGGTATGAAGAGGAGTCTGCGGTCAGGCACCTGCCTTACCCGTGTGACCAGCCACACCGCCTCTGCGAGGGGTCAAGAGTCACGTGAGTTTAAATAGCACTCCATCAGCTAATTAACAGCTATTTATTGCCTTAATGCTGTTACATTGTTAAGAAATACAACCACGGGACTGGAGAGATGGCTCAGCAGTTAAGAGCACTGACTGCTCTTCCAGAGGTCCCGAGTTCAATTCCCAGCAACTACATGGTGGCTCACAACCATCTGTAATGGGATCTGATGCCCTCTTCTGGTGTGCGTGAAGACAGCTACAGTGTACTCATATATATTAAATAAATACTTTTAAAAAAGGAAGGAAGGAAAGGAAGGAAGGAAGGAAGACAAAGTTTGCACCATAAACACCAAAACCTAAAAACACCATTTTCATGGAGTCTCTAGGACATTCCTCTACACAGACATGTGTCTCTTCTGTTATCTATATGAAGATAGACACCTGTTTTAATGTCTTTGCTCCCTGGGACCTACAACTGCTAAGAGCCTAGCCAAGGACAAAAACCAAAGTATGCCCATGCGGCATACATGGGTGCCTGAAGGTTCATGTTCTGTGCCCTCGGGAAGCCTGGGAGTCTTGCCTTCACTGCAGAGACATCTGAAAAGCTAGGCTGTGCTGTTCCAAAGCCTGGCATAAAGTAGCTTCCGGGAAGGAAGCTGACAGAAGGATCATGCCCTCTCACAAGAGACAGATAGAGAACAGTCTCAGGATCAGGCACAGAACTAAAGTGCTGAGGCTGCAGGTGATTGGCTGACAGCCAACCAGCCCTGTCCATGCTGGTGGCCCTGGGGATCACAGTATCACAGGAAAGTGTGATGATTTAAGACTGCCAGCATGGCCTTTAGTCAACAAGGGAACACACTACTAGTCAGCAAGGGAACACGCTTATAGTGAACCCTTAGCGTGTACAGTTGGCCAGGTTTGCCTCCAGAGTAGCTCATACAAACAGAATGTCCTGACGTTTAAGAGGGTAAAGTTGTGAGCAAGCTGGGAAAACTCACTGGCTTTTCTGCTCAGGATTCTGCAGAGAAGGCTGTTTACTGTTCTCATCGACCCATATTTTTGCCCTGCCTTTTAAACCTGCTACGAAAGACGGCCCAGTTCCCAAGTAGAACCTTACCTTTGTTTGAGCGATTTCGTAAAGGTTGTGGAAATGACACACTGGGTGTGAAAGTGCTTTGTAAACTGTGAACTGATTAGCGGTGTAGCTGGTTTTACGTTGTTTTTGCCTTCTATAGCACAGCTGATGTCAGGTGCTCACAGATTTTAAGTCTTGGCCTTACACCTAGAGGAGAGCTTCTCATGGGAGTCTTGTTTGTGGAAAGCTGCTGGGCTTCAGGACACTTATCTCCCCCTTTGGCTCTAAGGTGTGAGGTGTTATGTTATTCTAATGGAAAATCCCATGCTTCTCCGTACACTTCGCCTAAAGCGAAGAATCCATCCTAGGCCTGCCCTCCACCCTCATCCCCAGATACTGCAACCAATGTAGTGTGTGTCTCTCACCCAGTGCCCTTCACCTCCACGGAATATTGACAGGCTGGAAGGACCTCCTTAGCACCTCGTGGTCCCATGTGCCACACCTTTCCCATCCATGATCCCTGTTCTCTTTCTGTGCTGTTCCCATGACAACACCAGCCATCTAACTAAAGTAGAACAGAGCAAGCAAGCGCATGGGCTTAGGGCTACTCAAAGGCTCTGCTTACCTTACCTCATGCTCCAGTGGAATTTTGGTGACTTAAAGGTGCAGAAACTAGTTAGGGGCAATGTCAGGCTGCCTTTCTGTCCCCTGCCCTTGCATCTCTAGCTTGTAGTCATAGCTGACATGCTGGTGCTGTAACCTCTGTAAGATCTGCATTTCACATACAGGGCTGAAAATGCCACATGTTGCATGTCCTGACTTTTTTCTTTTAGAATCCCAAATGTGTTTTTACAGAAAAAGAAAAAAAAAAAAAACGGGAAGCCCTGCCTGGTAATATCAGTATAAATAACTACTGCACATTGAGTGGAAGTTGTATTCCTTACGTCATAAGCACTCGTAGATGTAGGAAACATGTTTGCGACATCAGTGCCTTGACATCTATTCTAAAGAAGCTTTCGAGTATTTTACTGGGAACACCTGCTGTAAGGTGCCGTGTGCCCCAGAGTTTCAGGGTCCACCCTTGTGTACTTCAGAGGGTGTGAAATAAGAAAGCATTGGAATAAGTGCCTGTTCTACTTTTGTTTTCCAGCATGCATATCTCTGAAAGCCAACAAGAATTCTTCAGAATGCTGGATGAAAAAATTGAAAAGGTAAGAAGGCAAATAAACTATATTCCTTCAGGATGAATACACTCACTGCAAGGTAGGATAACGATACTTTTAATTCCGTGTTCTAAATCTTCTGGCAAAGGATTGGACCAAAACTCAAAAGAGTACATACGGGAATGATGGGATAGAGCCCCCTGGGGCTGTAGGCTTCTCTAGCTCATCCTAGTAGAGCAAATCAGGTAGAGGCCATTGAAAATCTCAAACCTCATACTGCAAGGGGTGCTACAGCCTGAAAGAATTCATCAGGACCTCCGTGTGCCAGCCACTTCTCTGAATTCCTTACAAACATCTTGTATCTGTTACTACCCTCCTCTAGGCAGTGACCTTTTTGCCTCCAGAGCACACAGCTATTACAGGTGACACAGAGGGCTATTGTCTGCATTTTACCGAGACTCCCAATGCTTGAGTAACTTTCCCACAGTTGCCTATCTAATACAATGGTCCTCTTAAGCTACAGCTTCACTCTCTACAGTTTCAGTCAAGTGAGGTCCAGAAACACTAGTGAAGAAGTCAACTAATAATTCGTAACTCTTACGCAACTCATAACAGCTGTCATAACTATTATTCATTGTCATTAACCTCTTACTGTGCCAGATTCATACATTAAGCTTTATTGTACACGTGTAAGTATGTGTGCATATTCACACATGGTCTAACGATTGTCCAGTCAGTGTGCATCCACGAGAGTGATCACCTAAGATGACAGAGCTGGAAACTTCTCACACCCGGTACTGTGAGTCGGAGCTGTGCTGTTACACCACAGCACTGCTTGCAAGTTTGTGGGGATGCCTCTGTAAAAACCATCCCCCACTACCAACTGCATGGAAGGACAGCACATGCAGTAATGGAACCCGGTGCTTGGTAGTAAAGGACTATACTTCTGACATGTATACCTATGTTACCTGTAGCTGTTTTAAATGTATGCCTTCTACGTATAACAAAATATAAGGTAAGAAGGCAAATAAACTATATTCCTTCAGGATGAATACACTCACTGCAAGGTAGGATAACGATACTTTTAATTCCGTGTTCTAAATCTTCTGCCAGCCATTTCTCTGAATTACTTATAAACATCTTGTATCTGCTACTACCCTCCTCTAGGCAGATGTCCCATCTGTGGCTAAGCACTCATAGTCTCTAACTCTTAGCCTCTTAATACCTCTCTGCGTTAACTCCTGCCCACTGCAGTCAGAGCTTCTCCAAGCTAGGTTGGAAGCAGCACATTTCTATGGAGATAAACATATATAGGAGGCAGTTTGGCAACATGACCATTTAGAAAAATGTCAATAGATTTTCCTCTGTGACTTCCCTGGCCGTGGGTTTCTGGCCATGTTTGCAATATCACGCATGAATTTCCTTCCAGGGAGCAGACCTCAAATCCAATCAAAAGAGTAGTTGGTTACCCCGTTGACTGCTACTGTTGAGCTGTGGGTGCAGGTTGCCTGGAAGATCAGTATTGTAGCAGGCAGAGCCCAGTGATGGGCAAAACCATTGATATCTTCACGCTCCAGCAGCCTGTGTAGAGCCTTCACCTCTGTGAAAGCCAGCTAGTGGGGAGACTTCTGATTGGCTCAAGACTGGTTTCTCTGTGTCCTGCATCCGCAGTGTGATGTCTCCAGCAGTAGGATGTTACCATCTACTTATGGTGGTCAAGCAAGAGCAATGGTTAGAGCCTGTATTATTTTGGGTGCCTCTGGGTGTTCTCTGAGGAGTGACTTGTATGGAGATAACCCATGCCTGGCATTGAATTTTTCACTTAAAAACTGGTGTCTTTGGAGAGCAACATTATTTGCTAACGTGGGGTACTTCTGTGCAGACTCCTTAAAAAATATTTTAGTTTACATACTGGTGGAGTTTCCTAAGGCTTCTTCATAACTGTAATGCATATTATAGTTAACACACCCCTACATCTCCTTTACACACCCACACACTCATGCCCACTCAGACCTTTAGCTTCCAAGATTCTCCCCTGTTCACTCATAACACATATGTCTCCTCTTAGGTTTTTCACTTGCATTACAGGACCATGCAGACATCTTTTTGGTTAAGCCTTCTCCTGACCCCTTCTTTCCCCTCCCCTCCACTACCTGCTTGAGCCATTCTTCCTCCAATATCTCCCTCTCTACCTCATTTCTCCTATATTTTACTATTTCCTCTTTCTATATTTGAAATAAGGATACTCACACGAGAGAGAATATGTGGCTTTTACTTTTTGTGACCATTTCATCTGGACATCTCTCCCTGAAAATCCTGCCTTATAGTTACACTGTTTAATGAAAGATAGAGATGCTCTTGGATTTGGAACTATTTCAGAGTAGACCCGGTTTCAAAAGTGGACCTAGGAAAGTGTAAGCTCATAGTCTCCTTCTCGTGGAAGAAGCAGCAGCTGCCACCAGTGTGGAGCTAGAGATGGAGAAAGAGCTTAGCGGTGCTCCACAGAGGCCCCTGCCCGGCGGGAAATAGTATAAGTGTGTTTCTTTGTTTTCAGTAAAATACTGGTCTGTGTCTGCCTTGACATTGGAAACTTCATTTCAGATCAATTACCAAACCTCACATACTGGTTCCAGAGATGTTCAGCATGCTGACATCATTTTGTTTAGTGAAGAGAAGCCAAAAGGGAAATATTTTGTTCCCACTATGATAAAGATCTTTTCTTTTTCTGTTTATTTGGCTTCCTCCACTACTACGTGGTTTTTGTTTTTGTTTTTGTTTTGCAATTAAAATATTTTGCCTAGTAGTTCAGGGTAGACTGGAGAAACTGAAACCTGGATTTTTAAGTTTTTTAAACATTCATGATCTCTGGCAAGGCATTAAGATGATCTCGTCCCTTCTCAGCAAATTCCCGTGGCTGAAACTCTGTCTCCTTTACTCATTGCTTCCGTCTGAAGCACCAAGGAGAGAACATGACTCCTGTGGCACAACAGAAACACCGCTTTTTGACTTGACCGAGCGCTAGGTAGAGCCTTCCCTAGACAAGGAGGATTTCAATACTTTTCTTTGTTGTTCTTCTTTTGCTTTGGTACTGATAACCAAACCCAGAGCCTCATACATGGTGCCTGCTGGGCAAGTGTTCTGCTTCTGTGCTGTGCCCCAAGCCCAAACATATGTAACGTAAGAGAAAGCCGTTACTCCATCCGCTATGAACTCCCTTGGTTTCTCCAGATGATGCCCTGCCCTGTGGACCATGTCTTTCTGGTCCTCCTCTCTCCTCTAGAATTCATCTTTTTGCATGTGCTGTTCTAAGAACTATTGAAACATTACACATCCAGAACTCAAAACACCCCTCTAAGTGCATGTGTTTGCCTCTGTGAGATCCTAGCTATCATTTATAACCAAAACTTAACTCGAGTTCTTCCATGTAATTTTCCTGGGCTTTTAAAGTACTGGTAAGTATTTCTTTGATCAATACAAGCATGAAGACAACTATAAACACAGTTCAAGTCATCTTTGGATATCTTTTTAGACTTTCTTCAATCCATTTTCACCTGGAGCTTTGCGCTAAGTATCATGCTGAAAAGTTTTGAGCTGGTGAAAGTTTGTCTCTTCCTTTTCTCTCCCTAAATTTTACAAAGCCAGCCCTGTGAGTAAAGCCTGGCTTCCCTTGACTCATCAGTTGCATTTCCTAGATTGTGTAGGGCGTGGGTTGAAATTGACCTCTCTGTCCTCCTCTCTGGATACGTAATAAAAACTCTCACTCCTCAAAACAGGTGTAAAAGCACACTAGGGTGCCAGACTGAGGCCTGCTAGTTTGTCTGTATAGGAAAACTCACTGTGTGTATCCAGTCTGCTCTCACCTGGGGTGGCTCAGCGGGACTACAGCTGACTTTCATACACAGTTAGGAGCATGGTCTTCTAAGAACTTACTAGTGTCCCCTTTCCAGTACACTTAACACGCTGATTCAGCGTCTGCAGGCTTCAGCTTTGAGGTCCCGTGCCTCTATGACCTTAACCCTTGGCTTCATTTACTTTATATCTCTATATAACATCCCAACTCCCAAGCATTGAGAGGCTGATTTAGAGGTTTATCTTCAATTCTTTTACAATTATTTTTATAATTAGTCTTCAGAATAATGGTTTCCTTATGACATTACACACACAGACATTACCCTCTCTATCCCATGAGTTCATTTTAAAGTGAGTTTCTCGGGGCAGGGCGGATGGTCCAGTGGTCAGGTTCTTGCTGCATAAGCATGAGGACCTGAGTTCAGATTCCAGGTCCCCAAATAAAAAGCCAAACATGGCAGTACACACCTACAATCAACAGCTCCAAAAGGAGCAGACTGTAGGAGCTGAGTAGTCAGCCAGTCTAAATGAAGCAGTGAGCTCTGGGACCAGTGAGACCCATCTCAAAATGAGACAGTGAGCAAGAACCTCTGGCTTCTACATGGTCACACACAAGTAAGCCCACTCACACACGTATATACAAAAACAAGCATATACCCACAGCACGTGCGCGCACCCACAAAGAGAGGGGAGGGACGGAGGGAGGGAGGGAGGGGGGGAGAGGGAGGGAGGGAGGGAGGGACAGTGTGAGTTTACCATGGACCTCTTTTGCTGACGGTGGACTCCTCCATTCTGTTAGACCCCTGTTACTCCCTGTACTAAACACAGGTTTTGCTCCATAAGTCAGATACTGAGGCCTTAAAACATTCTCCTCGTTTGGGAGAGTTTTGGAGACTCCAGGTACCATTTCACTAGGCCAGCTCAGAGAAGGTTCTGGTCCCACCCTACTGTTGGAGCTAAGTGAAGACAATGGACTTAAAGGAGCTTACGGTCTGTTCTGCTTCCCTTTGTTCGTCCCTTAGGTGATTAATAAACTGGACTAAAGGGCACCTCAGACTCATTTAGGATTAGGTGTGCTTTGGTTCTTGGGATAGGAATTCATGCTGTAGTCCAGGCCGGTCTAGAACTTACTGTGTGGTCCAGGGTAGCATCGAACTCACAGCAATTCTCCTGCCTCAGCTTCCTGAAAGCTGGGGATA